ATTCAAACCCAGTGAAATCCACTTTTGGTGTCCCATAGTGTGTTTCCTTCCTTGCTCATTCACCACCAGGCAAGACTCTCAGTCAAATCTCAGGAATCATCATTCTTTTCATTCTCCTCTTCTGTCTCCTTTTTGTTTTTTAGCATAGGGGTTTTGACTCTGGGAATTCAAGTCCTAGAGGAAGTAAAAGGCTAGAAAAGCAACTCTTGGGAGCCTATACATATCTCTTGGTGGGGGTGCCTTGCACTACATTCAGTCAGCCACCTAGTCCCTTTAATCTCACCTTCGTAATGTCAGCCTAACCTGCAGTAGCTCTTGCCTGTGCAGTGTCACAGCTGACCTGCTTTCTATTTGTGCAGGTTCGGTGAATCTTATTACAACAATCTTTGATTCAACAACCTCAAAGACTCCATTTTGCTGGCAGAATAATGACTCAAATCTTTAGTTTTTGAAGTTCTCCTTGGTCTGGTTCCAAATGTTATTTCAGACTCTCTCTCACCACCTCCTCTCCTGCTACCCCCTTTCCCTCACCCTCTCACTATATTCTCCAATCAGAAACTTCTCTGTAATGAGAATAGTTAATCTTACAGTTTTAATTCATTCTTCAGGGTCCATTTCAAGCTATAATAATGATAGTTGCTAATCATTGATTGTTTACTATGTATATGCCAGTTATCAGTTTACAGAGATTCGTTCATATAATTCTCCCAAAGACCCTGTGAAATGATAACTATTATCACCTGTATTTTGCAGACAAGGAAAACTGAAGGATAGAGTGAACTGGGCAAGCCCAAGTTCTCACAAGGACCTGGACTCATGACTAGACTCTCTTAAGTCCAGAACCCAAGGTTTTAGATACTATTCTACTGCTCAAACAATGGATTTGATGATGGTTTCCCACCAACCCCTTGTTAGAATTCAGTACAAATGAATCATCATTTATTTGGCAACTGCCCTGTGTAAAGCACTATAACAGACTCTGTAGGAGTGGGCAAAGCACAGTTGATTACGATGGCTCCAGCCTCAGCGCTTCACAGCCTAGGAATTAATATGTTCTTCCTCTATGTTTTCAAATTTATTATAGTTGACATGACATGACACCTTGGACATTCTATTAATGGACATTTTTGAATCTTTCAATACACTGATACTTCCTTTTGCCTAGAGGCCTTTCTGTTTACTTTCTGTCCCTCCATAAATCCAGAGAGATGTTTATTGAATTCAAATAAATCCCACTCTTACTTCAACTTGTTCCATCTTCCCCAAGGAGCTTTGCAGTGCAATGCTCCTTTATGTTCCCACTGTAAAACAATATTATCAACTCACTGGGGACCCGGGCCTTTTTCATCTTCAGCACCTAATAGTAGTAGCTAATTTTTATTATTTACTTTTCTTATTCCAGGCACTTTACATGAATACATTAATTTAATCCTTACAGCAATGCAATGAAGTAAAAACTGCTTTTATCTCCGTTACTTAGAAGAGAAAACTGAAATACTGTAAGTTAAGCAACTTTCCCAGGCTTGCCTAATTATTACTGGCAGAGCCAGGATTTACACTCAGGCTGGTGGACTCCAGAGTCTGTGATTTTGACCTCTTTGCCTCTTCTGCTCCAGTCATTACATTTCACAGTGACTCTGTAAACATTTGTTAGATACGAGCTTTTTCTTTGTATCCCTGGCCCTGTATTAGATTTCTTAGTATCTTATTATAAACTGCCTTTGTAATATACATCTGTTGGCTTCATGGTTATAACTTTAAAGAAGGAATCCACTTTGGGGCTTTTTTTGAATTGCCCAAAGTACTTAGTGTAATTGTTGGGTCACTGAACAGATGCTGGAAAAATGCTTGATCTGACCTTAGAAGACCGGGCTAATCCTTATCCATATCTAATCTGTGAGGTCAGATGGCCCAAGTCACAATATCTTTATCCCCTTCTGGGCTCCTTGTTCCCCAGGGGAGAAACTTGAGTCTTAGTCTCTGGCAACTGCTTCCTGAGGGGAGAATGATCATTGGGGTTTGAAATCACAGAGGCATCTTGCCCTGGGTCAAATGCCTGGTTCCATGCAGGTGCTTCAGAGCTTGTGTCTGTTGAGGTGGGAATCAGGGAAGGATAGAGATATATCCTGCAGGATATCACTTCCAGCTCAACCCACTCGCCAGAAACTGATCTCGGTCTGAAAAGAGTAGATGCAAAGGCTTTTGAGTTCCTTTAATGTCCGGGGGAAACTTTCCATATTTTCTGCCAGGCCTACTTCTTAGCATGTAATGTACAAATCAATTTAATACAATCAAATTAATACCACATATTTTCCAGAAGGAAGGATGGTCATAGTTTTATTTTTTCCTGCTCTAATCAGATCAAATCTGTGATAATTTCCTTTAATTCTGGTGTTTCCTTTTTAGAAGACCGTAGACAAATGAGATCAGAGACTAACGACCAGGAGTCATCTAGTCATTAATTTATTTATCAACATTTTCATTACTGCCAGTGTAACAGACGCCGTGTTTGGTGCTGGAGAAATTTGAGAGCACAAAATAGGGAAAAAACTCACACTTTTTTTGGGGTAGTGAAGAAACTGGAAAGTAAAACAATAGCTACTTTTGACATCTGAAGAGAGAAGAAGGACCTAATTTCATAGATGTGGCTCCCAAGAATAAAACTGAGGCAAACAAGTTGAAATGACAACAAGGCATATTTTAGCTCTTGGAAGGAATAATTGTCCAAGGATGAACTATTCGTTTCAAGGTAGTGAGTTCTCTACCACTAGGGCTGTCCGGCCACTTGACAGGCATGCTATATAATGAAAAAAAAAATACTCTTATATTTAAAAAAAACACATTGGGTGTCTGATTGAGCTGGATACAATTTAATATACCTTGAAGCCTTGAGATTACCTGATTCTATAACATTTCATGCCAAATGTAAAGGCAAGAAAGTCAAAATATTTTAATAATATGAAACAGAATTATAACCCTGTTTAATAAAAAAGTCCCTATAATTATAACCTTACAATTCTATTAGATCTCACCTTAGCAGAGGCCTGGTCCCTCCCTGGGACCCACTGTGCCGATTACCTCACAACACTCAGGGGGTGAGAAAGAGTAACACGACTTCAAGGGAAATCAAATTGCTCATATATTTCAATATAGAAGTCACCAGACAGCCACTTGTTCACTGACTCTGGGGGAAACTGAGGCATATAAAAGTGGTGCCATGACCTTTGGAAGAACATCTGAAGCAGTGCCTATAATTTTAAGTGGTTAGCTACAAAACAAAGCTTCTAGAAGAAGCTGGTCACTTCTGCCCCTTTAATACCTTGCCTCCTAAGTCCAGCTCTCCTCAGAGAATTCAGAGATTCTATTCTGCACTGTTGGAAGTCGATTCTGCCACTTTGCTGAAGTAGGAAATATTCTCAGATTGTGGCTGATGCAAACACAATTCCCCCTGCTTCCACTGGCAGGTGATTTACTGGGTTATTGTCTCATTTGAATTCTATTGTTTGTTGGTGTTATTTGCCTAGAGTTTTTCATGAGCTTCTTGCTTCCCAAGCTTCTGACCATTGTGTTTGGGTCACGCTTCATTGCACAGGACTTGCCAAGGAAATTTAGTTTCCAGAAAAACAAAACGTTCTCTAATGGATATGTGTGTTTTCCCCCTGCCTTTAAGGTGAAGCCTGTGTAGTGCCACATTTCACAGGACAAAGCTAGCAATGAAGAGATCAGGGAGATAACTGGGCCGAGCGGGGTGTGGGGGATGGACAGACCATGACGGGTCCGATGGACAAAGGGTCGACGACGACACAGCACACACATAGTAGAGTGGTCGAAGGCCCTAGCGTCAGAGTGCCCAAAGATTTGCTTCTTGATTCTCTCACACTTACTGTGTGACCTTTCCCTAACCTCCCTGTGCCATGGTTTCTTCATTAGAAAAGGAGAATAATAAGATTACCTTAGGTTTGGTATTAGGATAAAATAATGTATGCCTATGGCACATAGTTAAGCACTTAATAAATATTAGCTCTTATTATTACTATTACTGAGAGATTTCTCTCAATGGTATTGCCAACCCTGAGGTTTCTGAGGCGCAGGAATCAGCTGTGACCATTTAAGTAAAGAAAACTGAGACTTAAAGGCCTCGTGGGAGTTTGAGCCTGTGATGGGACTTGTGCGTTAAGCGATAAACAGCTCCTTTCCGATAAGGGTCGTAATTGAGCGCTGAGACTGGTTTAGGTGAGTCAGTCCCTGACTCTAGCAGTCTCAGCTTATTTTGCATCTACCGTGAGGGTTAGAGTCCGTGCTTCAGCCGATGCATGGCAGCTTAACAGTGCCCCCTAGAGGCCTGGGAGGGTCACTAGCAGGAGCCACGTCCACACGGCCAAGTACTTGCTGTTAATGACAGCTCTAGAGCGTGAATATCTGCAGGTGAATCTGGAGTCATTTAATCTCTCAGCTTCTAGGCTCCTCACCAGAAAAATAGGGATTATAATACCTCCCACATATGACCCAGGTGAGAATCAAATAAAATAGTAGCACATGTGAAATCTTAAAATTTTAGCTATTTCTGTTATTATTATTATTGTAGTAGTAATTTCTCTTTGAGAGACCCGCTGGTGTTAGAAGATTGTTTATAATAGGACTGCCTTATAATCAAAGTAGCCAGCAAGCTGTGACCAATATTCTTAGTCACCACTCTGATACAAAGCAGCATTTCAGGGGCTCAGTAAAGCTTCAAACTAGATGACAAACTTGCAACTTTAGGCCAGGAGGGGAGTCGTCCGCGACCTACTGGAATTTCTCCCCTGCCTCTCTGAGAAGCACATAATTACTGCTAATGGTAATGGGGCAAGGCGACCTAATTTCGCAGTTAAGGACCTTATCAGAGTTTTCCTCCAGCTCCTCCTTGCTTCTCCCTCCCCCACCGTTTCCTTTTCTTCGCTCCAGGGGCATTCACATTGTGTGTGGGCGAGGCTTGCATTTTTTTTTTTTTTTTCACCACCACCTGGGAATGCCGCCTTCAGGGACCTAGGGCTGAGGGTTACATAAAAGCCCAGCGAAGCTCTGGGCCCAGCACCCCTAAGACCTGCCACCTGCCTCCACACCTTCGAGAGCCTCCTGCACTCCCCACTGGCACCATGCTCAGGACGGCCCTGGTCCTCTCTGCTTGGTTCGGTCTGGCTGTGACTTACCCCATCGCATTCCAGGGTAAGTGGACTGTTTGGACGTCTTTAGAGAAGAGGGCTAAAATCCTTTCACGGTGTCTGCCGTGTGTATGAGTACGGAGAAAGAGGCAGACAGAGACAGAGACCTGCAGTGAACATCATAAAATGAAATGGGTAAAATTTATATCAACTTGGGCTGGAGGTGGGATGGGCGGCTGAGCTCTGAGGCCTTGGGTAGTTAAGTGGCTAAGCTAAGAAGTGGGTTGTGTGTTTGAATTGACCTCATAAAGGTAAGAAGGCTGGGCCAGATGGGCTTAAGGTGGGTGATTAGAGAATTACTGACGGTTTTCCGTGGTTCTATTCCCTATTGAAGGCTAAAGAGGCTTTATTCTATTTAATTCAGGTTAAAAAGTCCTAGGGTATGCCCTCATTTTATAGTAAAACTCCAAGTGCTTTAGTGGCTAACTCAGTCACACGCAGGAAATCAGTGGGTCTGCAATGGAAACTTGTGAGTCACATTGAGACAGGAAAGAAATAGATGTCCTCATGAACCAGAGAAAGGAAGATTTCCCGGGAAGGCTTGCCTTTTCTAGTCCTTCCTGAATTCAGTTCATTTCTCAGGAGGAAGGTTTTTCATTCATTTGCATTAAAATGGTTACTTCCCCCCATTTTTCTGCCCCCAGCTTTCCCTCTGGTAGCTCTGTTTATCGGGTGCTAGGTTTGGGGTTCTTTACTGCATATGAATGAGTGATAAAGCAAAGTGACTGAGTTAGGGAGCTAATGATTTTGGCCTCACTGGCAGGGTGCCCATAACCTGCTGAACCAAGCAGCCATAGTGACTACATATCTTTCACTATCGTCCAAGAAGACCCTAGTTGTACGTCGATCAGGCTTACACAGTTTTGATGCTTTTGTGGTTAGCAAGCCCCAAAACATCTGCATTGTGCATTCTACAGGAGAGGCTGGAAAATGAAGTCCTTGACATAGCCCATTAAATGACAAAATCGTAGGAGTAGCCCATTTTAGAGTTGATTCCATTCTTGCTCACGCACTTTGGAAATACTTGTTTTCCTTGCTCCACACTCCCTTTTGTTTTTGTTTGGTTTTCAGGAACTGGAAAGAGTATAGATGGGGACTCTGGAATTTTTATTCTGTTCCGGTCTGACCAATTCTTATTTAGAGGCACAATATCAAATGCTCTTTCCTAAACTGACCCCCTCAAAGGAGGGTAGTGTAGAGGACACTGAGCATATTCCTGGGTGGCAGTTAGTCTTCTGGATTTTCTAGCAGCTGGCAGAAGAGAGACTTGTGGTGAGACCACATTTGATTCAATATACTCTTTTATGTTCCATGTTTTCCCCTGGGAATGGGAAGGATGTGGAGATCACGGAAATATTCTTGGTAGAAAGCGCTTGGGCTGTCTTGTTCTTTTTTGTCTCCTTTAGAATTCATACACATTATCAATGACCCGGTGCTATCTGCCGACCCAGAGCCAGTGGTTGTCCTGGAGCCTGAAGAGCCGGCTGTTGTCATAGAGCCGCTCACTGGTGGAGAGCTGGTCATTAACCTAGAGCCAAGTGAGGAACTAGATTTAACCGCTGACCTAGAGTCCACCACAGACCTGGAGTCGACCACAGACCTAGAGTCGGCCACTGACCTAGAGTTGACCACAGACCTAGAGTCGGCCACTGACGTAGAGTTCTTTCGTGGTGGAGAATTGACTACTGAAGCGTATTTGAAGAACACACAGGCTTTTGGTAAGTGAGGTTTCTGGCTTCAGAGGGGGCCTGGGCAGGAGTTGGTGGGCTCCCATCTTTTGCATTTCTGAGGGAAAGTCTGCTTTCCTCCAGTGTACTTGATTCCTTTCATAAGCTTGTAACCACACCTGTCTTCCATTTTGTTTTCCTAGAATTGTCTACTGCTGTGGAATCAAGCACCCTCAGCTTTGAGAAAGAAGCCACTGAGGCCACAGGTAAGAATCCCTGTCTTCAAGATTCCTCCCTGCCTCCCTTACCCTGTTTATAGCTCCTTGCAGAGGAATGTCCTATGATAACTTACACATTTGGGGATACTTTTGGTGCTTTGTTCTCTGAGGTGGAGTAAACTTGGCCAAAAGAGCTTTGAAACTTGAGGAAAATGGAAGCATTTTCCCAGATTGTCAGGAGATGAAACCAGTTGAATACCAGCATAGCTCCAGCCCAGAGATCTGCCCTGACTGATCTCCAGGACCAGCCTTCTGGGCTTCTCTAAAGAGGACGAGATCCTTGGTATCTCCAAGGGGTTGATGGATGTGGTGGCAAGAAAAACGTTAACAATTTCCTTTTCTTTTCCAGTTGACTACAATTCAGTTCAGCCAGAGAGCTTTGCCAACAAAGATTATGGTAAGTGTAAATCTTATGTGAATTTAGACTGAACAGAAGAAAAAGAGACTTAGAAGCTTCATGAGTTAAGCAGTGTTTCTATCTCTGCTCCTCTCTCTCTCAAGCCTCCATCAGTTTTCATTTTTCTGTCCACCACTTAGCCAAGGGGTCATAAGATTCAATGTCTTCCACTCCTACAAGCAAACCCCAACAGTTTGAGGTGTGCCTGGGACTTTTGATGTGAAAGAGCCTTGGACCTTACCTACAAAAGCAAATTTCTAAACAATTTGATTCTTATGTCTACAAATAATAGCTAGTACATATTGAGATCTACTGTATTCCAGCACTGCTCTAAGTGTATTGGGAGATTGCAGGCAGTAGTGGAGGAATCTAGAAATTGTGTTTTAGTGGAGGCTGGAGGGCCCATTAAAAAGGGTTGGTTCTCTGGCTTTAAATTCTTGCTGTTCCACTAACTGTCTTCCTCAAAGAATATACCTCATTTGCAAAATGAAAAACTCTACCTCAGGATTGTTTTCTAACTAGCCAATCTGTAGTGGTTGATTAATAAGTTAACGTAAATGAATGATGTCCTCCATCCCACCCACCCCCACCCCTATCCCATGGAGCAGTAGGAAAACTCTCATGTTTGACTCCAAGAGCAAGAAGCAGCCTCATGGCCCAGATCCCTCTGATCATTTCTGCTAATATCTAGACCCCATGGCCTGCTTATCAAGAGAGGCTTTCTGACTGCGGCGATTACCAACAAACCAAGAAACTTTGTTATTGTTTTTTTTCCTGTAATGCATTTATTTTATTTTTGTTTTTTCCAGTTTTATTGAGGTATAATTGACATATAACATTGTATAATTTTAAGGTGTGCAACACAATGATTTGAAATATGTATATATTGAGAAACTTTGGTTTTTAATAGGAAGAGAAAAATCCATGGAGGTTTTAACCTTTTAAATTAAGAAACTTACTGCTTTATTTCTAGAAGTTGTCACTGCTGCTTATTTCGATGAGCCCATCCTTGTAGCATCAGGTAAGTCCAAAGATCTTTGACTTTTCTGCCTATTATGGTCTTTAGGGAATATGTTTGGGGAAGCTTTCCAGAACAGACTCAAGAAGAGGCTCTCTGGTAGGTACTCTGCCCGTGTTTACACCCTTCTCAGCCAGGAGCCACACTCACTGAGCTGAATTTACTTTTGGGCGAGAAGAGAGAATATGGCTCTTACACATGAGGATATAACCGGTTCACATGCTACTCTCAGGGCTTCCAAGTATGAGCGTAGACCAGCCCTTCACCCAAATCCTTCTCATGGAGTCCATTTGCATTCCATTTCCACCGGGAAGATTTCAGGCGTGACAGAGTGCCATGGTAGTTAGGAGAAGGAAAGTTTCAGTGCCACAGACTCAGTGGAGTCCTATGTTAACCAGGGCTACTTGAGGTTATTGGCTGAATGCACACAGTGAATGCTAGACACACATTACTGGAAGTGAATAAAAACCATTTCTTTACTTAATTGCAGATGAGCCCATCACCTCATTTGGAAACGACGAGTCCGTCTCAGTGCTTTTTTGTAAGTTTCTTCTGTCTTGCCCCTGATATCTTATTAGAGATTTGATATCATTTTCCCAGTGCTGTTTTTTTTTTTTTTCTGAGGAAGATTTGCCCTGAGCTGACATCTGTTGCCAATCTCCCTCTTTTTTTGCTGGAGAAAGATTGGCCCTGAGCTAACATTCATGCCAGTCTTCCTCTATGTTGCATGTGGGTCACTGCCACAGCATGGTTGACATGTGTTGTAGGTCTGTACCTAGGATCTGGAACTGTGAACCTGAGTCGCTGAAGCAGGGCACGCTGAACTTAACCACTATGCCATGGGGCTGGTCACTTAAGTGCTGGTTTTAATCCACTGGGAAAGAATTCTAAACAGCTTTCCCAGATGCTGAGATCAGCTATAAAATCTAAGGTGGAGGTTAAAGACAACCTCTCTTCTCTCTGAGGTTTATCTTCCAAGTCTGTCTGGATTTTCAGTAACCAAATAGGCATAGGGTAAATAAGTCCTCTTCCTTGAGTTTCCCAAGATTCCTTTTCTTCCTGTTTTTCTCTGAGATGTGGATTCCAGTCCAGGCCACGGAATCTTTTTAAGGGAGAACCTGAAGAAAAGGCATCAGGTTTTCTGATGCAAAGAACATGTAATTCAGTTAAAAACGGTAAAGCCTTGGGGCCCTGAATCAGAAGGTGCCAGTTCTAATACTTGGCCTCACTCTTGGCTTTTTTGGAAGCCACTAACATGGTCTCTTTGTGAAGTAAAATGGATACCCAGACAGTGTGTAAATATCTCATGTAAGGCACCAGGAGAGGAAGGGAGAATGGAAATTAGACCTTAAAGAAATTGAGTCTCATGCTGACGGTCACAGCGGGAAGTAGGAAAAAGATGGGCCTGATCTTCTGAGCACTAGGTTCTCTTGTTTCTCTTTGTAACCCCTGTTTTTTTGTTTTAAATTTAGAAAATGAAGCAGATTTTCCGTTAGCTGTGCCCATCACTCTGCTAACCACAACTTTCTAAGAAGATTCTGAGCTTCTGGACAAGCCTATCATTTCATTATAGGAAATTGAATAATTGTAAAAGACTATGAGATATAGGATGTACGCAGCTGAGGATAAACAGAGGAGGGAATTGTATACAGACAGAAGAGGGGCATCTCTTGACCATGCCCGTTTAATATGGGGTCAATAAATGTTCCTTTGAAATAAATTCTGAGAGGAGTTTTTATTTTATGAGGGAACAGATTACTTAGTTGCCTTGTGTTAGTACCAGTATTCATTTATTCCTCTTTGATAGATACTTTATAACCAGGCTCCAACTCTTGATGGCTGCAGGAAATGTGAAATGAATCTATGGAAACTATCTTAGTTTTCCCATTCCTGCTGTAACAAATTACCACAAACTGAGTTGCTTACGACAACACAAACCTATTATTTTACAGTCTTATAGCTCTGAAAGGCATCTCACTGGGTTAAAAACCATGTGTCAGCAGAGCTGAGTTCCCTTCTGGAGTCTTTATGGAAGAACCCATTTTCATGCCCACTTTCCTTGGCCCTCTTGCATCTTCAAAGCCAGCAATGACCCGTTGATTCTCACATTACATCACAGAGTCACTGACACTGACTCTACAGCCTCCCTCTTTCACTTTTAAGGACCCTGAGAACACATTGGGCCCCACTTGCATAATCCAGGATAATCTCTATTTCTAGGTCAATTGATTAGCCATTTTAATTTCCCTTTACCATGTAATTTAACATATTCACTGATTCTGGGAATTAGTAGGTGAGCATCTTCGAGGGCCCATTATTCTTCATACCACAGACAGGATAGGACGTCTTAATCTAGAACTGGTTTGGTTCAGTGGGGGCCGGGGGTGGTAGTAGAGACAGTTACCCAACCTTTTCTAATGTTTACGCTAGATTTTGCAAAAGGGTATATATGTGTTTGTGTAAAATTGTTGGTATTGCACATATTTCTGCTTTACAGTATGTATATGTAATTGTGTAAATAACAAACAAAAATGGCAGAAATTTACTTTAGAGTGGTGTTCAGATTTGGGAGTGGGAAGATACCGATTCAGTGATATCTCTGCCACTTAGGAACCCCAGCTGCCTCCTGTAAAATGAGTCAACTGTATCAAATCAATTGAAAGTTCCTTTGTGCTCCTCAATGATTTCAACATAGGCTACACCAATGCTTGGAATCATTAACTTAAAGAACTATTAACTTATTAGTTTGTCTAAGGGAGAAATATTCCGTGTTCACTAGTGGTTTTTATACAACATGCAATAAATCTCTCACTCTTATGATGGATTTGTACCAGAACACATGAGATTTTTGGATTCCTTGTCTTGCCTTCATCAATGGCCTTGTCTCAGGGCTTCTCTTTCAAATAGGAAAGTAGTTTCAAGGCCTCCACTGATCTCTTTTAAGACTATAAAACTATTTCCCTTCTTCCAGTCTCTATTTTGCCAACTTCTTTTTCCATTTCCTTTTTAATTTTAAGCAGATTTCATGGAATTTTATGACAGACCGTTGGAATTACTTGTGAAATTTAGCCAGGAGAAAGTGTTAGCGGACTCAAAATAGGCAATCAGTATCTATCCAGAATGGAAAAAAAATTCATTTCAAATTCCAACTGATCAGTTAAAAGTGGCAGCCTAGGGGCTGGCCCCATGGCTGAGTGGTTAAGTTTGCTTGCTCTGCTTTGGCAGCCCAAGGTTTCACCGGTTTGAATCCTGGGCGTGGACATGGCACTGCTCATCAAGCCATGCTGAGGTGGCATCCCACATGCCACAACCAGAAGGACCCACAACTAGAAAAAAAAAATACACAACTATGTACCGGGGGGCTTTGGGGAGAAAAAGGAAAAAGATAAATCTTTAAAAAAAAAAAAAGAAGTGGCAGCCTAGAGAATAGCAAGTTGAGAGCCCAACTCGGGGATTGGTTGAAGGGAGAATTTGTAGCACGTGTGCTGAGTATTTGCTGATCCTGGTGTAAGTGGTAGTTGAAGCTATGGGTTTAGATGAAGTCACTTAGGAATAGTGTATATATTAGGAGGAGTAAGGCACTGGAGAGAGCCCTGTGGGAACTTGATACACAGAGCAGGGAAATGGTGAGGAGCGCCACCCAATTACTGTCCTCATAGTAACAGCTACCACTGAGCTGAGAGGTTTATATGAGTTATTTGCTCTATGTACAAGTTCTGTACAGTATTGATATTACTAATTATATGAAATCAGTTAATTTTATCCAGAATTAATTGTACAAAATAGTCAATAACATTTAACATAAATTTTGTACCATTTATATATAAATATAAATATTGGACAAATTTTGATAATGACGTAGGCTATTCTGTTTCTGTAATCCAGAAGGCCCCCCAATTTTCAAGCATTTGGTTTACTTTAGACCATTTATATTTAATGTAATTACTGATATGTTGGTTCTCAAGTCTGTCATTTTACTTTTTGTTTTCTGTTTATCTTGTTTTTTTTCCCCCTGTGTCTTGCCTTCCTGTGGGTTACTTGAATGTTACAAAAACACTTTTCATTTTGACTTATCTATGGTATTTTTTAAGTGTATCTGTTTGTACAGCTTTTTTTAGTAGTTGCTGTAGGTGTCATGTTATATACACATAATGTATCACAGTCTAATTGGGTTAACATTTTTCCACTTTGAGTGAAGTGTAGAAATCTCACCTCTGTGTACCTTCCTCTGCTTATAATTGTCTTAAATTTCTCTACATACAAGTAGACCCATATCAAATAGCATTATAAATTTTTGCTTCAACTGTCAAATGTTTAGAAAGCTCAAGAGAAAAAGGAAGATGTATCTTATTTACCTGTATTTTCCCCTTTCTATGTTTTTCTTCTTTCTTGATGTTTCAAAGTGCTTTTTATCATTTCCTTTCTGTTTAGAGAACTTCCTTTAGCCGTTCTTTTCAGGTATGTCTGCTAGTGACACACTCTTTTGTTTTCCTTCCTCCAGTGTCCTTATTTCCCTTTCATTCCTGAAAGATAATTTTACAATATATAGAAATCAGGATTGACAGTTCTTTTCTTTCAATGCTTAAAAAATATAGTGTTACTTCCTTCTGGCTTTCATGCTTGATGATGTTTTCTGCTGTCATTTGTATTGTTTTTCCCCTATAGATAAGTTGTTTCTCTTCCTGCTTTCAAGACTTTTTCTTTATTTTCAGATATTTGATTATGATGTGTCACGGTGTGGATTTCTTTGGGTTTATCTTAGTTTGAGTTTGCTTGCTTTTTTAAATCTTTAGGTTTATGTCTTTTGCCAAATTGTGGAAGTTTTCAGCTGTTATTTCTTTGAGTTCTTTCTCAGGTCTGCCCTGTTTTTCTTCTCCATCTGGGACTCAGATGCCATGAATATTAGGCCTTTTGTTATAATCCTGCAGGACCCCGAGGTTCTGTTATTTCTTTATTTTGTTCTATTTTCTCTCTGTTGTTCAGATTGGGTAATTTCTATTGTTCTATCTTCAGGTTCGTAGATTTTTTTCCCCGTACTGTTGAGGCCATCCATTAAGTTTTAAAATTTTGATGATTACAATTTTCAGTTCTTAATTTCCTTTGGTTCTTTTATACATTTTGATTTATTTGCTGGGAATTTCTCTTTCTTTGCTGAGATTTTTTGATTTTTTTCATTTGTTTTAAGCATGTTTGTAATTGCTCATTGAAACATTTTTATGATGAATGCTTTGAAATCTTTGTCAGATAATTCTAATGTCTCTGTCATTTCTGTTCTGGCATCTACTGATTATCAAGTTCATTCAAGTTGAGATTTTGCTGATTCTTAGTATGACAAGTGATTTTTCATTGAATCAGGATATTTTAGGTATTACAAGACACTGGATCTTATTTAATCCTGTCTTAGCTGGCTTCCTATGACACCAATCTGGTAGGGGAGAGGTGCAGGCACTACATTACTGCTAGGTGGGGTAGAAATACAGGTTTTCCCCTCAACTTCTGCTGACACCCAAGCAGGGGAGGGTGAGAGATGGAATTCTGGCT